TCCGCCTATTAGTTTTGCAAGACCCCATAGCATGGCTATTGGGGAATTATAATTATTGCGTTATACCTCAAAATCACCAATTTATATATTATCGACCGGAAGAAAGAATCGAACAAGTGTTATATTATTGCCTAATGGTATAACATTAGAAAAAATAAAACAAAAATTTCCAAAATTCAAGTGGCAAATTTAAAATATTCTAAATTATAAAATTATTTCGGGCCCTTTCCGCTAAAACTAAAACCGACAACCAAATATAAAGCCGCCAAAAAGAAAAATGAAAATCCCAAAATATTGGCAGATGTTTCGGATTTTTGGCTTGGCCGAATTACGCGCGCGCCCGTTGCTAGGGTTTATCGTAATATTAATAATAGCCAGCAATAATCGTAATATTGTATTATCTATGGTTCTTAGTTTAAGATTTTGGAATATACAATTTTTAGGATCACAAGAGTTGAGTTCATCCACGCGCATCCGCAATCTAGCAATCAGATGGGCGAGCATAGAGTGGTGGTTCCGTTGGGCACCTCTCTTGCCTAAGAACAGCAACACATTGGAAGAGCTCATCCTATCCAACCCTTATGAGAATTGCACACAATGAACTTGAATCCAGGTGTGGCACAATGTTAACAAAATCTGCTGCAGTTCCATTGTCACAAGTCACAAGGGCATTCTCGTCTAGATTCTTGATCACGAGAAGACTCTTGCGTTCAAGCCACATGTGTCTGTACATAGGTCGTTGGCCAAGCTTCGGCAAATGGAGCTCATAATCACCCATCCTTGAATGCATTCGGCGTTGATCGATCACGTTCCCTGATGCTTTGCATTTGCTCTGAAAAGATGTTCGCAGTTGCCACCAAACATGCCGGAGACATCCGGAGACTGTGGTCCTTGCCACAAGTAAACTTTCAGTTGGAAATATCCCACTGCGGCCCAGGGCACAGTTGGCAAAGCGTGTTGTTGGGATCTGCAGCAACGCAGGAGGCCTTCCGACTCTTTGGGGCTTCCAGGATGTTTAACGCATAGACATCCTCAGGATGTCGACAGACCCGCGAGAGACGTCCCGAAATCTTGTGACACAGCCATTTCAGAAACACCACTGAAGCTTGCAACTCCTTCACTTGGAAGCCGGATGAGGCCCACACAATCCAATCCCCTACAAACAAACAGAATGAGGAGTCGAGGGCACAAAGACTGTAGGGAGTCGCAAGTGTTTCAGAGCTGCCCTGGCTCCAAAATTTTTGCAAAAGGACAAAACAACTTGAGGCAAGTGTCCACGTTGGTCTGCTCAGTGCAACCTTGGCAGCAAACATCATCCGCGTACTTACGAGGTAGGTTGGAAGTCATGCTAGCCGCTAGCAGAGACCCCAGATAGTAGTAAAAGCTATTGTCTTGTGACATACCCAGCCTGCACCCATACACATCTCGCAGCAGCACCCTGCAGCACCAGCACCCAGGCTCCAAAGCGCACGCAGCCATACACCTTCGCAACGGCACCAAGCACCCAGCCTCCAAAGCGCACACAGGCACCTCTTCCTATTTTTTTGTTTTTCAAAGCCAAGGCACGAGGAAGGTCTGATGGAACTAAGTGAAAAGGAAGAGAAAAGACTTTACACCTTCCTGACCGAGTGCCCGTTTGGCACCTCCAATGTCGGAAACAGAAACACGCTAGGCTGATCCAGCAAACTGACGGTGAAAACCTCTTCCTATACTTGAAGTAATAATCCCAATACTTGAAGTGAGAACCCCAATAACTTTGGCTATCTGGTGAAAAGAATCAGGATGAATCAGGTATCCACTATCCAACATGAAAAGTGCCTCCCACGTGTTCCCCATACACAGGCACTTGTTTCAAGCACTGGCCCTAATAGATGTCCCTTACGCGGCGGCCCACCAGCTACAGTTAAAATTGAAGGGGAAGAGAATAATGACAAGGAGCTGAAGTCATTGTCAATCTCCTTGAAGAGCCCAGCTGCTTTCCAAATGGCACAAACGAAAACATCACACACCTTGGCTTCACCACTACAGTTTCTGGCCGGCCCGTTTGCAACAACAATGAAATCCGCTTCGGTTCCGCCAAGGATAGCCTGTTTGGTCGAGGTGAAACACCCAAAGCAAGGCACCATCGAAATAGATGGAGCATCAGTACCGTTGTTGAACGAGGAGGGGTACAGCACACCATCTGGCTCTGGCACTGCTGGAATTGAAGCCAACCTTCAGTCTGTGGACTTTCAGGATGCAAGAACAATCGTAGCAAGCAAGGCTCAAAAGCAAGGACACAACCTGTTCACTCGTCCTCCCTGCAAAAAGGAATTTTGGGATGGAAAGCATAAATATGTTAGACTGCAAAACAAAAGCGGCTTTTTGCTGATAAGACTCTCCATTCCTTTCGACAAAGCTTGTCTGTAGAGTGCAGTTCCTGAAAGATTGCTGAAGGAAGATCCTGTCACATGCTGATTCCTCGGGTGCTCACAATAGCTGGACTCCAAGCTCTTGTGCTTCAATTTCCGAACGTTCTATGCACAAGTTGCATCATGTTTTTCAACTTCTTCATATGGTAAGTCATGAAATCAACGTGCTCGGATTGAGTAAAGCAATCAAATTCGGCTCCGCGGTCGAGCTTCCAAGAAAGCAAAAACGGCTTTTCAAGCCGCGGGATGTATCGGGTCACAATGGGCACGCCAACCTGTCAAAGCGGAAGCTACGACTCTTTGCCACACCGCACGAGCCACACATTGCAACACAACCTCAAGATTGCTGCGAGCCCTAAGGACATTTGGACCTGCTTTCATGAACACTGAACACTGTGGCTTGAAGTGTCGGAGGGAAGCAAGCAATAACAAAGGAGCCAATGCTCATGCAGGACACACATGGAGCTTCTTGCACGTAAAGACTGGAATGGAATGTATCACGAAATCGGGTCACCTCGTGGCCAACAAAATCCAGCCTCGAAGATCTCCCAGACCAGACAAGGTCTGTCTTTTTCAGGGCGGTCGAACGGTGGCATGCACCTGAAACAAAGGTGGCATGCAACCGATCGAAGGAACGCCCTCCCAAGGTCGACCCTGGTTGTCTCCAAGAAACGGGTAGTTGTCATGCAGAGTGTCGATCCAGCCAGTAAACAAGGCATGATACCCATATTCCAGGCCTGATGCTGGCAAATGTGAACATATCAGCGAAAAGTGCGGAGCGGCATGGATAGAGATTTTAGACCGTTGTCGCAAACACCACATTGATTCGCACATCTTGGCTACAGGCAACAGGAGGATTAACGATATTCAACAAGTTTAAGACATTGACTCATAGGGCCATGGAGTAGTCTCAAGTCACTTCCCAGCATAAAGCACGGCTGTTCTGGAGCATCACAGAATCCAGCCTTTATATTGATGGAAGAAGGCGTTCGCACCACCTTAAGATTCAGAGACTCAGGGGTCCTGATTCCTCATTCATTCTTCCAGAATCTCTCTTCCAAGCAATTCTCGCCAGTACAAAAGGAAAACACTCGGAAACAGAGTGCCACATCCAGTGTCACACTGCGCTCTCTCCGGCTGTCAAGTCACGCTCATCAAAACTCTCACCTTATAGAGGTGTGCAGTGTGCAGTGTGCAGCCTTTGTTTCCAGTCCCCAAATAAGAGCAGCTCTCCTGAAGCTACTAGGGTCTTCTGGCATCGCCACTAGGAGCAAGGACGCTACTAGGGGCTCCTGGCCGTACTACTAGGAGCAAGTAGCTAGTAGTAACGAGAAGCTCATAATGGGCCCTCTTCTGGCCGTGACGGAGTGAAGGATCCCTAAAAGTCGTTCATTTGCGGAAGAAGGTATAGCGACTATACATGCAAAACCGCATTAAGTACGAACAATGTCCCTGTACATGTTCCATGCAACACAAAGCTTGAGAAACCACTTGACGAAGTCCTGTGCAGAATTAATGCGTCTGAAAACTATATGCACTCTTGTTAAGGCCATGTTGCGGTACTGCTGCTTCAGCGGGGCGTGCACCACTGAATAACTAGCAGCGCGGGCCTTCAAACAAGAGTCCAAGCCCCTTGTTTGTTCATTCAACACTTCAAAACGTATGGTTTGAGTCAGCATGGCTGCATTGGTTGCCGATTTGTTGGAGCAAAGCAGCACAAACAAGAAGGATGCGGGGTCGGAAACAGAACGCGACCAAAGAACATACGGGAGATGCAGCCTATGGTTGGACAGTCTATGAGAGTCTGGCAGAACCCTTCGGAAGCATTATATCGCCATCTCTAAGACGTGTCTTGAGCTGAAGGCCTGGGCAATCCACTCACGAAAAGGTGTACGCTGGATGCCATTCGTTGGCCTGGCAAGCTGAGCTGGAACGAAGTTTCATTGGAAGAATTATTGACAATTGCATTCCGTAATTATTCTTTTCAAGGAAAAATGGCACAAGGCATTAGTGTAGAAGCGTTGCAAGGCAAAGCATTGTGGCTTTGCATCACCGACCAAAAGCGTACCAGTAAGAGCTGTTGACGGTGCTCTCCGCCACGTAGAGTTGCCCCTCCTGCAAAATGTTGACTCATGGCAACAAAGGAAATCGGTCCTTTGTGAATCTGACTCCTATGGTCTGATCCTAGAACTCATATCTAACCTGACCGTCTCGCATCAAAGAAAGAACTTCCTGGTGTCAGACTCCTCCCAAAGGGCTACAGCAGTGTGTCCAGTGTGGGAACCCATGCCGAAAGCCAGCATTGGATCTAAGCCATCCATGCGGATGACGCCAAGGAAGTCACCGCTGTGGATGTCAGATTCGTTCAAAACCAGCTCTCCATGATCCACGCGCTTCCTGAGAGCGAGCTCTCAAGAGCTGGACAGCGATTCAAAAGGCGCCTTTCCAAAGGCGCAGGTGCACAGGTGGCTGAACAAAGGGGGAAAACAATTACAGAGCTTGTAGTGCTAAGAGATCTAAAGTTTTAAAGGACCTTTCCTGGACTCTGTGAGCCGGCAAGGCTGCATAGAAACTCGAAGGATTACGATCAGGGATTCATGTTGCTCAGTTGTGCAAGTGGCTTCCCAGAGTTAGTCGAAATGGAGTTGGTTCTTGTCATTTTCCAGATTTTCTAGACTGGAGCCATTTTGTCAAGCCCTAGTCGACTTGAGCCTTTCCAGTGAAACATAGAAGAAAAAGATTTGCTTCTGCCTGGGACCAAATGTACCAAACACAAACGACCCCCAAAAAGACTCCGCTTTCCACTTGTACGTTTACCCATACCAGCCCGACTCGATGCTGGTCAGCGTCTTTATGTCAATACCCATGTACTTCTTCAAGAAGTCGACATTTCGTTTGGCAGCCAGCGGCGCAACGCCTAACAGCGATAGTCTGTATAAAGATTGCATCGTTGATTCCCCAACACATCGCTGGCTTCCAAACTCTTTTTGAACCATCCATGATCAACTGCTATAGAGTGCTCTTAAGCAACTTGCCCACAGTAGCTCAAAGGCTGTCTTTTAAAACGAACCATAGCTGACCACTCTTAGCAAAAACCAAACATTAGGATCCAGTCTGTCTAGTACGACATAGACATATACCAAGCCCAGGGTGCCCAAAAACACAATGCACGATGGTGTACAACGACACAGGCCTTTCGTATGCAGCGGTGTGAAAAGCAACGCGGTCTCCAGAAGGCTCCGCATCGTGGCCAGCCCACTCTCATGGAAAAGAAAGATTCGCACGCCCAAATTGTCAACGTCCCAGGTTTGAGCTTCTGTCAACCTCCAGCTTTGCTCAAAGAAGCAATCGTGAAATCTCAACAGGCTCATTTGCCAGCTGGTCTAACCTGACTGAGTCCACGACCCCATTTCAAAGGTGAAGGTCTTCTGCCCTCCTATGGGCGCTGCAAAGGATCCCACTCGGAAGTGTGAGGCAGTGAACAGTCCAAAGAGTTCGCTGCAAATCCTTGGTTTCGCAGCAGCACCGAACAAAGGTTGCCTCACACTACACTTCACCATGTCATGCAATACATCACCTCACCTGGCAGCAAATGATACATCAAAACGAGCAGTCACCCACGACTACTCAGGTAATCATCAGCACGGATCTCGGCATGCACGTTGCACGTTCCAATGCAAGGTTTGGTGGAAATAGGCCATGGTCGTTACCATGGTCTCTCTAATCCACCGAATTAATGATAGTAATAAATGCATATAATGCAACGGAATTCTAGTAGCATCATTTGCATATCAAATGATAAAATTTGCACACCTTTCCCGCAAATACTTACGATTCCAAGTCACATCCCGCATTATAATACCAACGCAAGGCTACACAACATTGTTCAAAAATGAACCCTTGCCAAACAGTGTTTTGTGTTGCATTTCAAGGCTCAAACGTTGCGCTTTGGACACCTTCACCACTAGCTTCCATTCTTTGTCCAACTTCTCCACTGAAGCAAACACCTGAAACAGAAACGACACTGGTTCAACCAGTTGAGATCAGAAAGGTCTCTTCAAATGTCCTCCTCTTTATTCAAAGACAGGGCTTTAAGCGGGTGGCTCACAAACACCCCAAACCAGCGAACCAAGCAACATGACTAAACCAAGTGCAATGCACCAGCGAACCTCTTTCCAGCAACGTGAGGAGAAGTTCAAAGAACCACCAGGAAGGATGCGGTCAATATATTTCCTCATTCCACAAAAAGCTAAATTGCGCTTGAAAAGCAACAAGTCTCAGTCTGAATCAACCCAACCCTTACGCGGAATAGGAAAAGCAAATGTGCTGAATTTGCAAGGCATTTCAACAAAAGGTCTTCTTTGGGCTGGCCATACGTACCTTCCTTGGAGATTGATTGATCAGTTGAATGTGATTCGAAAAACTCCAACTCCCGTTTCTTTTTTTCAGCAATTGATCAACACCCTTTTCATTCCGTTTCGGTAATTGATCGGAAACAGTATCCAAACGATTCAAGTCGTGGCTTGTTCTTGGAGCGTATGCAAGTCTTCGTTGACCTTTGAGGCTGTTGAAGTCACAGTTCACACAAGAGCTATTTCTCAGGATAAAGAGCCGTGTGCGTGGAGGTCTTACTGTCGGAGGTTTAACTCCAGTTGAGTCCATGGCAAACAAGCGATCGGCTACAATCAATTGCTCCGTGGCACAAAACTATGCAACAAACACACCTGCCCTAGCACATGGTGGGGAGGCTGCACACAAAGGCACGGTGCAAATGCAAAGTAGGGGTAGTCAGTGGAATTCCTTAGCTCATGATTCACTCTAAAGCGTAATTCAGTTAACCTGGAATGGACATCTTGATGCTGGTAACTCTGCAAACCGCTAGTGAATTGCTTCTTGCTGCAACCAAGCAACATCTTTTCTCCATGCTCCGCTTGAAAGGCCAGCTCATCTTTGATGAGCTTCTCTGTCAGTGTGAGCTCTCCTAGAACAGAGTTGAGTCCCTTTCCTTTGTTGTTTCTACCTTCCATTCCTTCTTGAGATAATGCCCATACAATCTGCCGAGCTGCGCTTCGCCTTAAGGTCTATGGCCGTAACCTCACAAGCAGTCAACAGGAACTACAATTGGTCAAAGCATCTGTAAGTCCAGTGATGAAATGTAAAGAACATTCAACAAAACAAATACACCGTTCAAATTCATTTCCAGCTGCATCTCATCGGCACACCCCGTACAAAGGCTCATAGGTTCCAATTTGTTGCTGTGTTTGGAATTTTGACATTAGGACAGCTTTTCAGTTTGCAAGACAGTTGTATCGAAGTCGCGAAGGCGCATAAGACTCTCTGATGTTCTTCAGCCGTTTCCTGTTGAACCCACCAGCCTCCGCCAAGTCATCCGCGTAGAGTTCGGTCACGAACTCGGGGAGCACATCTACGGCAAAGGCCAAAAGTCGTAGAACCAAGCGTTCCTTGACAGGTCGCCACCGTATACGAATTCGAAATTGTGGTTGAAAACACTATGGTACTAAGACCTGAACCCCAAACTAACTATGGTCGGCATCTCATTGTTTCATGTGGTTTATTGGGTGTCACTGCATTTTTGTACATTGAACTTTTACAAACCCCCTTCTGCACCCGGTCCTGGACCAAGGGACAGTGATATGTCCGCAAGCGAGGAGCACCCCAAAACTATGGTAACTTCACATCTCTCGTAGTCCAACTTTCTATTTTTGAAGGTCTACCAGAAGGGCTCAAGTTTACACTCCAGTGTTCCTGCATCCTCCATTGCTTCCTCTGTACACAAAACGCTGCCATGAACCTGAGAGGCACATCCAACACTTCCAGAGATCAAGCAGGAAAGCGCAGTGCTGAATGATGACAACTTGCTTTCTAAGACGAGGAGGAGCTTGTGGTTGGGGCACAGTGGATGTTGTAACATGGTAAGAGAAATTGGAGATGTGAAGCACATTCTTATTCGCGGCTTCTCCAGCTTGGGATGTCAAGATCGAGAGGTGTACCTCCTTTTCCCATTCGACATTGCTTTAACTTCACCAAACTCCGCAAAAGGTTCAATAGGCTTAAGGGATAGCTATGTTGGATGCAAAAATGTTCCTTCCAATTCTTTCACAGCTCCAAGTCATATGTCTTGTCAAGAGCCCGCGATACATTTTGTTGGACATTGTTTCATTGATGAGTATGCTGGAATGCTCAGAGTATCCCGATCGCACAAAGCATCCGTAGACATCAATCGGGATAAACCTGTTGGATCTCACTTCTGCAAGGACCATTGTATAATTGGATAGTCACGGATGACCGCCTTGCGCAACAGAAGCGAAAATTGAAGGTTGATCGGTTGGAAACCCTCAAAAGCAAATTCCCACACTGCATGTCAGAAACCTCCAGGGATTGGCGACGAATCTCCTGACAAGCATGCAGCAGCATGCCTGCCACACTTGAGAAGGTTGCTCCGTGGAGCTTGTCTTCAGGCTATTCGCGGTGAGCATTAGCACTTTAAGGTTAGGTACTGCAATA